TAGTGTGTAGCAAAGGAGTGAGAGGGGCGGGTGGAGCAGGAGAAAAATAAGAAGGGAACGTAGTGTCGTGGTTTCTCGTAAAAGTCTCGAGAGTAAGTCGGTTCGCCGCGTGGTATGACGCAACGCCGCTGGTAGGTAGGTAGGTAGGTAGGTAGGTAACGATACGCGAGTTGAGTAAGATCGTAATAGCGGAGCAACGCGCTTCCGTGAATTAAAAGCAAAGCTGTACACGGATAACGCGTGTGGCCAACGTGGCAGGTTTCTCCGAGAGACGCGCGACACCTCGATTCCCAGTATTGTTGCGAGAAACAATGTGGGTCACGCGGATAATAATCGTTGTTCGTCGCGTCGATGTTAGTTGGTACGTATGTAGGTACACACATATATATATATATATATATATATATATATATATATATATATATATACACGTGTACAGCCGATGCACGGAACGTTACCTTCCCTTAATACCTAGAACGGGGTATAGGGGTAAGAGGAAAAAATCGGGTAGAAAGCAGCTAGACAGGGAGGCTGGGATAAGTGCTCACTCGGCTAACGAGGCTTTGTGCGCATCGATGCTTGCAGGAAAAGTCGATCGGCTCGGAGGAAGATTTGGTGGTGGTACCGAACGTGCCGATGCTCTCGGCGACCAGTCAATCGAAACATGCAGCCCGTTTTCTCAGATTGGCGATGGCCTCGATAATGGACATTCTCAGAATAAAACCGTTCGTCGAGGTGTCGATCGGACAGCTGCTCTGGGGTTACGAGGATCCGTTGCTGAAATTGGCCAAGGATGTCGTACCGAAAGAGCAGAAACTTCCTTACGATCAGTTCGGTTTGCTGTACGGTAAAAACGCAACGATGCCCGATTGGTTCACCATCTTTACCGGCAAAGGAAACATCTCCAAGTACGGTATTCTCGACAAATGGAACGGGAAGAGCAGCCTTGGCCATTGGACCACTCCCGAGTGCGACAGCGTCGCTGGCAGCGACGGCAGTATTTTTCCTCCGCGAATCACGAAGCAAACGGTGCTGAAAATTTTCGACAAGGATCTCTGCCGGGCCCTGCCCTTGGCCTTCAAGGTAATCGACAACGGGGCAAATAACGCGATCATTGTTCGATCGAATTTTCGCGACCGTCGTCAACGCTCGGGCTTCAACCAGATTCGTACTTGTTCCAGGAGGAGGTGACTACCGTTGGTGGAGTACCTGGCTACAGATTCGTACCTACCAAGGATGCTTTTGGTTCTCCGAGCAGAGTAGAGTCACAGCAATGCTTTTGTCCGGCGGGACCACCGTGCGCGCCCGAGGGAACGTTCAACGCCTCTCTCTGCCAATACGAATCGCCTGTTTTGCTGAGTTTCCCGCATTTTTACCTCGGTGAGTACCGCCGTCGATGAACACAGTCGGGGAGTCTCGATTTATCCGAAACAACAACCTAACCGTTTTCAGCGGATCCCACGTTACGAAACGCGGTCAACGGAATATCGGCGCCTGTCGAGGAAAAACATCAGTTTTACATCGATGTTCAACCAATGATGGGTACCTCGTTGAGGGCCAAGGCACGAATTCAAATAAACCTGGCGGTGAGTCAGGTGCGAGACATCAAGCAAGTCGCTTCGTTTCCGGATATTGTCTTTCCCATCATGTGGTTCGAAGATGTGAGTATAAGATGAAAAACACAGTTCCACCGCTGTGCAACTCTCTTTATGGAGAGATACATATGTATGTATATCCGGCATCGGATCCGTTCCGTTCCTCGCGTAATAATATACTTAGACGTACTATAAAAATGAAACCATCTATGATATATACATATACTATGTAAAGCGATGGTAATCGGTCGGTAATGGTCGCAAGGGAGACGTGGAATGATTGGACACGTGAGTCATGTCGATGGAACGAGCGGACGCGTTGATATTCGACGCCGCGTGATTCTCGCATACTTACACATATGTATACATGCACACGTATACCGACAACAATAAGCACGGTTAACTAGGCGAACGATGTCGATGACGATCGATCGATCGATGCACGTATACATTGTAGTATTTCCATCAAAATTTTCAGGGGATCGATGAGCTTCCTGTCGAGATGCGAAGTCTAATGAAGATGGCCGTGGACCTGCCGCCGATCGCTCGAGCGGCGGTATCTGGAGCTCTGGCGGCGATCGGGGCGATCGTTTTGATTGGTGCACTCGCGTGCCTGGCGCGCGCCGCTAAGCGCCAAGAGAAACTCCACCTCAGCAATCCGTTACCATCGAACACCAGTGCCGGTAAAACCGGTCAGCTGAATCCGGCTTTCCAGAATTCCTCGGGTTCCAAGTAGACCACCGAGCTTCGCTTCCTCGACCCTGGATTTCTCGTCGATCGGTGCGCGACCACGCGTATCTGAACAGACAGTTGACGAGACCCCCCTCCCGGTCGTCCTCTGGGTTTACCAACTTCATCTTCACTTCGCCTTATTTCCTTTTCGTTGTTCCGAGCTACACACACACACACACACACACACGCGCGCGCGCGCACGCACGCACGCACGCACACACACACAACACGTACCGCGAAGGAGGGGAAAAGCGGTAAAAAAGAAAAAAAAAAGGAAAATTGAAGGACCTGGTTGATCTCGGGGGGAGGATAAACGCGAATCTCGAGGTGCGGGTTCACGATGAAACGAAGACACGTGGCTCGAGTCTATGCGTTAGGAATAAACGCGAAGAAAAGAGGAGAACACGAGACGAATTGCCAGGCTATGCCGCCGTGTAACGGTATAGATAACTGGTAACTGGTAAACCAGACCGTGTTGTTACCACGTGGAATACCGTGTTTTTCAAACACTCTGTTCACTTTGGTCGAGCGAACAAACGGGTCTGTGCGTAAAGATCGAAAGCGACGTCTCTGTCGATGGCCAAACACTAAAACACTATATTGTTATATAAATATGTATCTATAGATAGGGAAGGACACAAGAAACTAGGAAGAGGGAGTATATTGAACGTTGGCGAAGAAGTCGCGGATAATTCCGTATCAAAGATTTTCTATCCAGCTCACCGTACGGTGTATGCCAACGAAATCAAATCATTCCGTCCAACGAGCGCACCGTCCGTCGGCGTCGCTCGTACGCATTGTATATGTATACCTACTCGATCGGGATCGGGATCGGGATCATGTGTGCCTCGAGCAATCCGATTACGATCGAGACCCTAATGTTACACGTTTTCGGTTTGAGTATTCGTATCTCGTTCTAAAAGCATTACTTTGGATAGATTCCGGTTAGGTTCTTAGGCGAATTTAGTTTTTTACGATGGATTGCGAGCAGCTAATAAAACAGCGAGATCAATTTCCGTTTCGAAATCGGAGATCGATTCCTGTCGATTGGAAATTAATAAAGGTGTATGAAAGAGGTACTTGACCGCGTTGCGTTTGCTTCGCATCGAGAGTCTTTTCGTATAATACGACAGAGCATTCCCAGATAAACCGCACGAGAACTACATAGTCGCCACGCGCTGTGCGCCACCGATCAACGAAGAAGAGAAACGAAAAAATAAATTGCTTACTTATGTCAGTTCTTCGAAGACCTTGCTTATCGGATTTGACCGGAAATAATGGAGAAGCATAGTTTTCTATGCATCGATGCAATCTCACACACACACACACACACACACACACACACACACACACACACACACACACACACTCATCTCGGCGCGGCGGTTGCTTTCGCGTTTACGTAAGTATCTAGCTAGTGTATGTATACATATAGATAGAATACAGAAGATTATCCGAAAACGCAAACGTAGGATTCCGGGATTATTGATCGATAAGCGACGCGTTTTTAACGCGTTTCGTTCGTACGATTCATCGATCGATCGTATATAACAGCGTTCCTGTTGCCTCGACGAAAAATGGATATCGATATTTCTCGTTGCGGGGTTCTATGCACGGGGAAGATCGAATCTTGTTATCGTACGAACGAAACCGGTAGCGATTCTATCGCGGTGAATTAAACGAATCGCGAACTCGCTATGTCTTTTTAAAAAGTTTCATCGAGCTCGATGCGTATATTGGCTCCGTACTCTAGTCTCGATATCTTTTTATCGATACGAACATAAAGATGGACGACGTCCGACCAAAAACGGAAAAGCGAAAAAGCGAAAACTGTGTACCACCCCACAAATGGGGTCGGCAAATGGGGAACCGTGTGTTCGGGGTTTTCACGTTCCAACGGCGTCCTCTACCTGGTTTGTTTTCTGATTTCGCGGTGAATCGAGTTTCACGTCGATTCGCTCGTCCTTCTTGAACGCGGCGACTAAAGCACCGAACGAAAGGACAAGACCAACCAGACTGCACCACTGGAATCCAGCTTCGACGGCGTTGACGAGATAGTGGCCTCTCTGCAAAACTTGTTGCACGGATTGAGGTAGGTCGTCCACTTGAGAATCGAACCATACCAATGGCAAGATCAAACCGTCTCCCAACTCACCCGTGAACGGTAATCCGGCTACTTTGTGCACTTGTAAATTTAACTGAAATTTCATTCTTGTGGCCACCGTGATGCCCAATCTCTGAAATTTTCATCGAGGTGATGCAAAATTATTATCTCGAACGCCGTTGCTCTTCGAGCGTGTAACAATGGATGATATAGCGCGTACTCTACCTGATGGAGATCGATGTAGTTTTCCTGATGCTCCAGTCTAGGCGTCAATCCATCGATTCTCTGAAACAGTGACTCGTCGCCGGAGTAAAAGTGGGGAAAGGAAACTAGCAACGGAGTGTCGAATTTGCAAGTGGAAACGTTGAATATTCCAGTCGGTGGGCATCTTCTGGAGATCGAATCGTTCGATTCCTTCGGGCAAAAACAGGAGTCATTGTTGCTAGTCCACGTAAAAAGGTTGCTCGGTATTTTGTACCTATGGTCATCGTGAATCGATGAAGCAATTGAACCGAAATCGTTTTCCTCTCCGGATCGATGCCAACTCGTTTCGATCCGGAGGAAAGGGTTGCGAAGAACGACGGCGCGCCGAAAGAGGAGAGGGGCTGGAACAAGGACCATCCGATTCGAGTGAAGGAAAAGGGTCTGGTTTGTTGGCATACGAGATAACCGTCGCACTTAAATACAGGAAATACTTACCTGAAAGTTGGAATACCGTTGGAAAAGTCTCGACGTTCGTAACGAAAGGGCATTTGCCGGCAGACGTCCTTCGCGTAGACGTAAAGCGGCGCGTCGTTTGGTCGTTCGATCCAGTGCGGTGGAAACATGCTGCCATCGGTGCCGTACACTTTGTCGCATCTTTCGTCTCCCCAGATCTTCCGAACCTCTGCGCCGTTCACTCGTTCTATCAGTCCGATCTTTTTCATGTCGTCGGTTCCTGTGTGCATCGTGATACGATCCTCGTTCAGGCCGTTCCTCTGAAATCCGACACGCATCGCTCGATTACGAATGAATTCGATCGAACAGAATCGACCATCGGCGACGGGGACGCGGCTCGAAACAGACGACGGCGACGACGACGACGACAAACAAGGGAATGTAGTATGTGTGTAAAAAATGAGAGAGAGTATACGTACGGTTGCGAAAATTCCAAATTTATCGAAGGGAAGATTATGCTTGAGCGAGGCGAAAGGTTTAGCCGTACGAAACAGTTGGTCCTCGTAACCCCACAGATAGTCTCTGACAGGCAAATCGATGAATGTTTTCGACTGTAGACTCGTCAAAAACACGGTCAACAATATGTGCAGACTAAAGTGCAGGTTGCGAGAAACGGCGATCGCTGACATCAGTAACACATTCGGCACGGTGACAATCTTGTCCTCCGATTCTCCGGCAATCCACTGAAAGCTTCTCTTCTCTTGATACGTGACCGTTCCGTTCTCGTGCAGTTCGACGTTCACTCGATTCAAAGTTTCCCGATAGACGAACGGACCGACTTCTTCCACTCGAAGTTTGCTCGCGTTCCCGCTCTCGAAATCCGGTAGGTTCGTGTAGTTGAAAACGTAGACGTGAACCAGCAGTCCGGCCGGCGGTCGTTGCCAGACTCGTGAAAGCCGCCAGCCCGTACAACCATCGGACGCCATTCAGACGCCTTTTTCTTGTTCCGTCCAAACTGTTGCGAATCGCTTGAGCCAAACCCTTCTCCTCCATTCTGTAGGGACGCGCGGAATCGGCCGCGATCTTGTTTCGCTTTTCAAAATCTACGGTGCTCGAGCGTTCGTGCTCCTTTTTCCCCTGTTTTCTTTTCTGATCCGCGATCCGATATATAATTTTCCCGAAAAGTTTGCCCGCGGAACGATGAACGCGTGCACTCGTCGATTCTGGTACGATCGCGTGATCGTGTGATCGTGTGATCGTTTGATCGGGTTTTCGTCGACCTACTGAGTCCCGTGGAATACGTTGACGACGCACAAAAATCTCCCCACCTTTTCTCGATTCATAGATAACCTCGTCGCAACGATGACCCTCGTTTGCTACACCAAACTTGGGACATTCTCGGCATCTTCTTGTTCGCACGGTAATGATAACGCCGACGAATCATACGTGCCGCCGTCTTTCGTTATTTTTCTTTATTCTATTCGACCGACATCCACCCCGTTTTATCCATCCTCGTCTTCTTTCTCCTCGTCTGCTTCTACCTCTTGTATTCGCATTCTTTCGATTTCTTTAATACCCGATTGACGATATTGCTTGTCATCGTCCCTTTTATTTCTCGTGGATGTCGTCCACGCGCCAGCCCATCGCGACGCTTCTCTTCGACGTATCGTGAAAGGGAAGCTTGCGTCACATCGCGAGACACTTGTACATACTATATACATACATAGATAAATTTACACACGCGCTTCGAAAAAACCCAATTCCAAGCTGGACGGTTAGACGGCCGCGAATCTGCCGCTATCGTTCGCAGACGTAAAAATTCGTCCAACGATCGATAATGCCGGTTCACTTCGTCGCATTGGACGCGCCAACTTTTTTCGCACAACAGTCGACGATCGTTCCATTTTCCGAGACGGAGGGATGGTCGGAGATCGAAGCGATCGAATTCTCGCGGATTCGCGAACAATCGGATCGTCGCCGGAAGTTGTTGACTCGTGAAAACAGCATCGCGAGTTCTTTTGAACGCCCATCGTTCGATTTTATCGAGAGACTGTACGATGTTGTGACTGGCAGATGCCCTTTTCACCCGTTCCAACTGCGTCGACATGTCGCGCGCGTTATTTCGTATCCGTCGTTTGCCGTTAACGCGCGGATGTAACCAGTCGTACGATAGATACGAGGAACGGGATATACATATGTATGTATCTACCTACACGCGTCTTATCCGGCATGCGAAAATTACGCAAGAAACGCATTGTCAGAGCGACCCTCCGCCACTCGAAACTCGTTGAACACGCGTATATGTTTGTCTATCACTATTCATTTCGACGAGCCTTTTCTCCTTTCGTTAGATTCTTTCCCAAAACGCATATGCGTTTGTGCGTTGCGCTACAATCAGCTACAACCTCACATCTAAACGTGTAAATGTTCCCGCGATCAGAATTTCGATCAACAACTTCCAGATGAAACATTTCGTATACATGTATATAGCAATTTCTCGATTTTACAGTTTTTCCGTGCTTTTTCAATTTTTCACAATGGCGGGAAATTGCTAAAATTATAGCAGCCCCCTTATGGTCGGATTTCGAACTAAAACTAGAACTTCTCTTATCTAGTTCCGAAAGTCGCTAACAGATGGCGCTATTATGCCGATTTTGCAGTTTCCGTCCTTTTTGTAAAAATTCTAGAATTAGTTCAGATTTCCGGCACCAGGTGGCTACCATTATCTCACCACCGACGAGGTAGTATAAGCACAGACGAGATATAAGAATAGACCTAACATGCAATGTAATTTTCGGTCCCACGCTTAGGGGACGTCAGAAGCCCCCGTAATATTTCAGTATTTCATTCCTTGCTAGCGAAACCGGGACTATAATGTATGCATATATATGTAGGGATGAATCGATGATACAAGTAAATACGAGTACATTACTCGATGCTTTTGTTTCGATACCGAGTATTTTAGTATCGATTTGCGGTTGCGATAACAAGTAGGTATCGAACAAAAGTGCTCGTATCGAATGGTGAGTATCGACCCGTGTAGTAGTTTGTAAGAGGTGGCATAGAATCCTAGGAGTATGCGTAAGAGAACCCGTGTAGGTGTCAAAGTGGGGTCATAGAACCCCCGGATCATGCGCATGAGACCTAGTGTGTGTGCGCGCGCGCGCGCGCGCGAGAAGTGGGGCCATAGAACCCCAGAAGCATGCGTAAGAGCCCCGTTTGAGTGAGAAAGTGGGGTCATAAAACCCCTGAAGCATAGGGGAAAAGTGGCGTAAGAAAAAGGCCTCTTAGCACTTTGTAAATTTATTTCAAGTACCGAAATAAATGTTAAATTGAATGTTAATTTGAATTAAATTTCAATAATTCCCAAGATCAAGTGATAGAAGGCCCTTCTCTTCCACTAGGGGAAAAAGTATCGTAGGGAAATGGTCTCCTACCATTTGATATTTGGAATTATTGAGTTTGCTCGTGGGTGTACATCACTGAAATTTTTATGTAGAGGTGCGCTCGCGAACCAGCCTGATTTTCGTGAAACACCTAGACCAAAACGGGTAGATTCCTACTATTATGACGGAATTGGCCGCTTGGTGCAGCATGCAACTCAAGGACAACGTATTCCCGGGCGGCGGGAGTACTCTCATCACACTCAACTTTCATTTCCTCCAATTTCCTCTCTGGCAGCATTGAGAAACATCGAGAAAGTTTATCGACGACCGAGGTGTTTCGACACGAAGAAACACGAAAGCTGCGAAAGACCAAACAAGTACAAACGTACGTACATACATACAGTGGGATCGGCCAGAGAAGGAGAGAATTGGAGAGAATTTTGGGTCGTTCCGTCTGATTAGCGTTCTTCCTGGAGGAAAGGACGACGAACAAGTGTGCCGTGGTGCGTCGCGCCTCGCGCTATACATTCGGTTCGTTTCTGGAATTGCACAAGATCAGTGGTTCTGGCAACTAACCTTAAAGTTTGTTTTCGATCGTATTTGAAAAACTACTTCGGCGAAGGGAATCCCGAGTCGGTTTGGATCGAAGACCGAGAAACGTTTCAAGAGGAAAAAGGTTAGAGATAGGATGAGTTCGCAGCAAAGTCCAGCTGCGCTCCAATCAACGGTGGATCGCGAGAAGGTGTACACGTGGATAACCGAATTGTCAAATCCTGAGACGAGAGAGAACGCGCTGATGGAGCTGAGCAAGAAACGCGAAGTCGTACCCGACCTGGCTCCGATGCTGTGGCATTCGTTCGGTACGTCAGCCTCGTTGCTTCAAGAAATTATAAGTATTTATCCGGCGATTAATCCGGCCACGCTGACAGCATATCAGAGCAACCGCGTATGCAACGCGTTAGCGTTGTTACAGTGCGTCGCCAGTCATCCCGAAACTAGATCAGCCTTTTTACAGGTAACAAACACACCGCCTCCTCGACAATGTATTCCCGTTCGTTTGTACAGGTTGTTTCTATTTTGTTTCAGGCACACATACCCCTTTTCTTGTATCCGTTTCTACATACGATAAGCAAGACACGCCCGTTCGAGTATCTCCGGTTGACCAGCTTGGGCGTGATAGGGGCGTTAGTCAAGACCGACGAGCAGGAAGTGATCACGTTCCTGCTCACCACCGAAATTATTCCGCTTTGTCTGCGTATCATGGAGAGCGGTTCTGAGCTGAGCAACACACTTGCCACGTTCAATTGCTGGATGACAGTGGTTTGTCGTACATATGTCAGACGTATGATAGATTCAGTCATGTTGCGATGATTTTGGGGAAAATGGTACTGTCCTTGGCCAAAGATCCTTCCGCGAGGCTTTTAAAACACGTGGTTAGGTGTTACTTGAGACTTTCGGATAACCCGAGGTAAGAAGCGCCGACGACGCTCGCAAGAACGGTTACAATCTACAAACACGTCCCACGATCACGTTTTATTTCGTTTCGCATATTTTACAGGGCATTGCTGGCTCTCAGGCAATGCTTGCCGGATCAGCTGAGAGATAATACTTTCGCGACCTGCCTGCAAGAGGATGCGTCGACCAAACACTGGTTGAATCAACTTCTAAGGAATCTGGAGACCGGCCCTCAACCGGTACCCCCAGCGCAGCCGGGCCAGCAGGATCCCCGAACGATCGGCATGTCGCCACTCGCGTCTTAACGGATCCACTCTCGTTTGTGCGATAACCCGTTTTCAACGAATTTCCTCGAGGACTCGGTAGTGCGGTTGCCTTCTCCTTTTCTACGCGCTCGCGAGTGTCGCTTCCGGCTTCTCTAGTCGCGAATGGTCATAAAACGAATACGCGTCGCTGTTCGGTGCGAAGGTACAGAGCGTTAAAATTGTCGCTGACAGGGTGCAATCCGCCGAAGGGATAGGAGTTATTGATCGCGAGCGATACGGAACCATACTCGCGGTGCATGTCTGTCCATGAGACAAGGCGCTCTTAGATACGTGTGGGTTGCACGTCCGTTGATCCACTGATCGGATCAAATAGTTTTTCGTCCTTTTGAACGTGAACGAGAAACATTGAAAATTCTCCGTGGTACAGGGACGAAATTCTCTTTCGATGAAACGAATACAGACGTAACGAAGAATGTTGAGCAAAAATGGTTTTGTTCTTTCCGTCTTTGCCCCCTTTCTATCTTTGTTGGTTCTTTCGTTTGTAACGGTTTATGTACGTTGCTCCACCACATTTGCAATCGTTTAACACGTTATAATTTCAATTTGAAAGAGTATGTATGTATGTATGTATGTATGTATGTATGTATGTATGTATGCGCGCAAATACATGTATGCGTGTGTGTTTGTTTCTGTGTGTGTGTGTATATATATATGTATAGATCTTATTCATATATAGATATGTATGGTTGTACTATTTCGATGTTGTCTGTCTAACGGCTGCCCGGTAATATTTTATCCTGTTTTGAGTTTTTGTTCGCGGTAATTGCGTTGGAAGGGGTCGATGTTCTTTTCGGCTCGACTACACTCGTTAATGGATCGACGTGTCTGTTCCAAGTTTTCCGAGTTCCGTGGTGTCCTGCGGAATAGTGAAAAGTTAAGTTGTATCGAATACTGCGCGATCTTCGGAAAAACATACCTGTCGATTAGATACGGCGGCCACTTTTGACCGAAGGAAGCCGTGTATTATCGGCGTGTACAATTTCTCATCGCCTGGCTTCCGTTTGTTGACGCCGGTAATCCAAGAGACGAGCAGTCCGACTAGAATCGCGGTCAAAAATCCGACCCAGGTGTACCAGAGGTAAGATATCCGATACAGGATGAATGGTTGTTCTCTAGAAATGCGTTGAATATTTCGATAGATTGAAAGGGAAGCGGGAATTTTCTGATGCTCACTTTATCGCAGTTTCGAGAATGACGGTGAAATTGATGGCACGATTCTTGAGGGATTCTGGGCAACCGTCGACGGACACTGGTTTTACAGGAAACGCGATCTCTCCGCTGGAGATGGCTGCCTGTGTACCAAATGAGATCCAAGCGACAAGGTTCAAGCTAACCAGTCCGCCAACCAGAGCTCCCTACAGCGGTTGATTAGGAAAAACAGAAAAAGCGAGACACGATGGAAATTGGTATTAAGACGTGTAGTAACGCGCGACATAAGACGATCACGCGTCGACGAACGTTTTCTTACCGCAGAATTGGCGACGGGGAAAAACATGCCAAGAGTGAACATTCCGAGCAACGGACCTGCCGTTATCCCCGACAAACTCTTACCAGCCTGCGAGAGGAAAGGAAAAAAAAGATGAATCGTGGGGAAAGGTTTGGACATGATTCGATTGATGCGAAAAACCAGAGGGATAATAGCGTGAAATGGGTAAGAAGACGACGACTCTACCTGAATGAGTCCACCTAGTTTCTCCACTAGGAAAACAAACGCCACGCAGACGGTGCCGATCACGACTACCATGATTTTCATGATTCGACTGGCCGCTACTTCCGAAATGGGATCCCGCAGGCAGGGTTTTATCATGTCTTCGTATATGACCCCAGACATGGAGTTTAGACCGGTGGACATGGTGCTGAAACGAAACGGGCGATCGGTGGATATCGTAACCGTATAGAACGAGAAGGCACCAAGTTACCTGAGTGCGGCGCTGAATACCCCGGCGACGAACAGTCCTGGCAAACCCGGGATCGAGTCTGCCATTTGCATCACGAAAAATGGCAACAGTTGGTCCGGTTTGTTTATTTGCTACGGTAGTGAAACAACGGTACGCGGACCGGTAGAATCGATAGAAACCGCGGGACACGGAAACGGAAGGTTCCGGAACAACGTGTAGCTGGTTGGTGGTGTTACCTTGGTTATGACGGGATCGCAGTCGTAAAATGCCGCGAAGACGACGATACCGGTGTAGCAGCTCAACGAGACGATGCTCATTATACCAATCGCCATTATCGCGATCGTTCTGGAGGAGACGGGAGAAACACGGTATTAGGAAGATGAGCATAGCGGCTCCACGGGCCGAAGAACGAACGACAGAAGGTTGGCTGGCTCACTTACGCGTTCGCCTTTTTCAAGTTTGGCATCGCCAAACATCGCTGTACCATCGATTGATTCACGGAACAGGTCGCCAACCAGTTCAAGTAATTGCCAACGACCACCGACCAAAAGGTGTGTCGCGTCGTTGGATCCGGACTCATGCTGGCGATCGGGAAGACGGAAAATTTGAACGCGCGAAACGTGCGGAACGAGTATTTGGTAATTTTCTTACTCGAAAAATTCGATTCTGCCAGTAGCGCGATTTCTTTCCCAGACGCGATCGATTCCGCCCACTCGATTCGTTCCGAGAACGGCGACGACAATCACGCCCCCGAACATCACGATCGTCTGAATAGCGTCCGTCCAGACGACAGCTTTCAAGCCGCCCTACAACACGCGGTTTTGTTGTTTTTTTTTCTTTCATTTATGATCGAGGATAAAAAGATGAGCTGTCTGCTTACCAAGGTCGTATAAAATATGCACACCGCGCAGACCAACAGAGCGATCGCGTGAAGATTTATGCCTGTAACTTGATTGAACGCTAGCGCGGGAACGTATATCACCAGTGGGATGTAGAGTAGCTACGGGAAGAAATCATCCTTGAACTGCGTTTTCTGTGCCGCGCGCCGGCTACTTACCATTTTGATTAGAAATATAACTGAACCCATCAGACGAACGGCGTCGTTGAATCTCAGCTTCAGATACTGAAAGCCCGGTTTTGCACGGTGTGAGAGATCTAACGAGTCTGGGAAACCGGGGATCGATCATGCAGCAGCGGGTAGTACCTCGTAAGACGATGTGATCCCGAGGCCGTAGAAAACAGGCAGATAGATGATGGCCATCGTCAGGGAGACGAACGAATCTGCGATCACCACGCACCAGAATTGCGTCCCGTAGACATACATCTCGGCAGGTAGTCCAAGAATCGCTATTCCCGATATGTAGCTAAAAATCGAAGGATTCGCGACGCTTAAAATCGCGTAAACTTCTCCGACGAGCGGAAGGGAGAGAGCGAGCTTGTCGGAAACGGAGACACGCGTTTCGATTAAACATTCGCGCGTATTCTTTCGCGATCACCTTTCCTTGGCTCGTCGATGTTTCATGGCTCATCGGTTCGATGAGTTCTACCGTCCTCGTTCTTTCATCTCTCATCTCTCGTCCCAACCGCCCGTTCTCTACGGGTTCGGAATCTCGGTTCTTCGAATTCCTACCTGGCTATCAGAGACATACTTATGGGAAAGATCGACATGTTCTGCCCACCCACTAAATATTCCCGAACCGCGTCCGCGTTTTTTCTCGATTTGTACGCTTGATAGACCCCGACGATCGCAGAAATTCCCAACATTCCCGCGAACACCGCGGAATCTATCAAATCGAACGATCTTTGAGCCGATCCGTTGCTCTCTGCCATGTTTTGTCCCTTGTTTCTGGTTCTCGAACGATGGGTGATCGGTTCGACGAGTGATTCGCGGAAGTAAAGAGGAACGAACAAAGAAGACGTCGTCGTGTCGCGCCGCGTAACGTTAACCGCGGACTCGCTCGAAAACGTTACGTTTCTGAACCGCGAAACCGTGTACGACCGGACGATTACACGAACCGACTACTCGGGGAGACGATTGAATAATTGGAGATTCCGTAGTTATCGTTCCCACTCCGCTTCCGCTGTTACCTCTGTCGAACCTCGTTTCTCCTCCTCTCGCTCATCCTCGACATTTCCTTCTTTGGTATGTGTATCTCCGATCGTTATGCGTAGAGACGCGTAGAGACGCGTAGAGATTCAGACGTTTTCACGGTCGTGTTTACGTATTCTCGAACGAATCGAACGAGCATCGGGCGAAAGATTCTGGTCGGTTTGTGTGCTCTTTTCGCACGGGTACGGACGATCCGAAATGGGCGCAAGTATGCAAGCAAGTATACATATACATATACATATGTATGTACATATGTATCCGTGGCGTTCGAAAGATTGTAGGCAAGCAGGCGAAGGCCGATGGACGGTCAGGCATTTAACGAAATTGCTCTTTACGTGCCCCTGTTTGCTCGCGATCGTTCCGTTTACCTTATCTCGCGTGTCCCACGGAACGTATTCTTCCACGATCGATTCCATTTTTTCCGGGGAGCTCTCGCGTCCTCCGGTACTTTCGTGGAGAAGCGAAAACAACCACTCCTTCGAGGTGTCCCGATGGGAAAGGGGTCGCATCCACGAGTAGCGCGACTCTTTGCTCGGCAAAGTCCGCGCAGTAATCGTGTTACGCTCTTGCCGGATCACTCGTCCGAAAAGTCCGAAGACGCGCGGTACTACTAGCCCGGACGGGGGGGGGGGGGGGGGGGGTTAGGTGAACGAATCCACGCGCGAAACGATGATCCGTACGGTGTTGACGGTCATTCTCGCGTTTTTCGGACCTAGCCAAAAACGTTGTTTGGCAGAGGGGCGAGCCACGTACGTGAACGTAACAGGAGACGTGATTTTGGGCGGCCTGTTCCCCGTGCATCGAAGAGGCAGCGGTGGCGGGAGCTGTGGTGAAATTCAGGTAAGGAGCAAACACGTAGAACACGAGGATAGAGATTGGTGCGTTTCGTTCGGCACAGATCGAGGACGGAGTTCAACCCCTGGAAGCTATGCTGTACACCGTTGGACGTATCAACGACGATCCCGCTGTCCTTCCGGGTATACGACTCGGCGTTTTGGCGTTCGATACCTGTGACAACCCCAGTTACGCTCTAGAGCAGGCGTTTTACTTTGTAAAAGGTATAAATTGTCAGTCGACACTTGCCGAATACAGTCGTGTTGTTGTTTACACCGTCCAGTCGGTTGACATACTTGTCTATAGTGTATTGTATTATACATAACGTAACGGTTTTCTGAAAATATTTTTAAATACGAGGGGAAAGAAGGCAAGACCTGCAAAGGCTGTTCCTACTACTACTACAAGTAGTTGTAAAATTCGGAACATGTACCACCCGTGGAATTGCATGGTCAACTAAACATGGGAGGGGTACCAGCACTAATATTATTAATATTCTGGACAGCTTCGAGTTACTGTACTCTGACGGAATTTACCGAATTCCGTTAAAAATGGGACAGATGGATCAAACTGACATAAATAACTTGTCTTAAATAATTGTTATATTTTTTTTGGTCTTTTCTTCACGTGTCCTTGATTTATAATATTCGCACTATCTTTATATCAAAGGGATTTTGCAGTTAAAATTAATATTATTATTATTATTATTGTTATTACCATAAAGTTGCGAAAAATAGTTTGAATCGGTTCGAGAGTATCGAGACTCGCCGCGTTACGTTCTACAGGTATAATCGGTCGCCGCAATCGGTACGGCGAACAAGAGTATCGATGCGACGATGGAAGCGCGCCAGTGTTCATGCACGGTGGATTCGACAAGGTGATCGCAGTGCTCGGTGCACAATCCAGTTCGGTCACTATTCAGGTGAGGTTGCCCCGTGTCGTCTCTTATCTCTCTCCGCTACAGAATAGATAAATGACCGATTGTAAGACGATCCGTTGCCCGATTCGCAGATTGCCTCGGTGTTGGCGCTTTTCTCGGTCCCGCAAATCTCGTACATGTCCACTTCGCCGTTTCTGAGCAGCAAGGAAAGGTTTCCACACTTTTTTCGTACGGTTCCAAGCGACGTGAACCAAGCGCGTGCCATGCTCGAGATACTCCGGTGAGTAGAACGTATCGTACGATAGAAAGGATCAACAAGGGTTGTTCGACGCGAGAAGAGACGACTCGACGTACTCGACGAAAAATGATCCGGCGGTTCGGTCGGCAGGCGATTCGAATGGTCGTACGTGTCGGTCGTTTACTCGGACTCTGAGTACGGCGATCACGGGTACGAGACGTTGGCATCTCTGGCAGCCGAGTACTCGATTTGCTTCAGCGCTCCCCAACGGATCAGGGAAGATCGGTTCACGGCCGAAGACTACGACAACGTGGTTCGCACGATTGCCGAAAAAACCGACGTTCGAGGTACGAAATCGTTCGAAAATCCACTATTAAAAGACAGTTCCTTCCGATCTATTTCGTGATCATTTTGACGCGCTTGGCGATCGATATCGGTTGAATTTCAGTGGTGGTGCTGTTTGCGGAAAAGTCGACTACTCTGCGCGTTTTGGAGGCGGCAAGGCGGGTGGACGTTGGGTCGCGGTTCGTCTGGCTGGGCAGCGATTCGTGGCCCGACCATAGAGACGAGAAAGACCGAGAGACCACCGTGTTGGAAGGCGCGCTCGCCGTTCAGCCGCTCTATGCCCCGCTCTCCGGCTTCGACGAGTACTTTACCGGCTTGACGTTTAAACACGAGAAAGTGAACCCCTGGTTTCGCGAGTTCTGGTCTAAATATCATGGTTGCGAGAACCAAGAGGAGCCTCTCCTCGCTTCTGGAGCGTCCTGGGCGTTCGAGGTACACGTATACGAAGGGATATCCCTCCACCTCTTCTCTCCTTGCTACCTAATAAGAATAGGTGGTTTACGAGCGATGTTAACGAAAGACTTTTCGACTCGTAGAAAACGCATGATTATCGAGAGGTTTTTTTCAGCAGCGACACAGGGGTTGCGTCGATCCGCGGCTGAAAATCGAACGAGGTAACGGTTACAAGCAACGAAGATTTCTGCATTTTGTTCGTGACGCGGTTTACGCGGTAGCGTATGCTCTTCACGACGACGGTGTTTGCGAGCAGATGCGATCTCTGACCGAGAAGGAAGTGTTTTCTCGATACTTGACCAAGGTATCGTTTAAAGGTGAGTGAACGGCCGATGGAGCGAATAACGGTTCTCGAGCGATCCTCGAAAGACGGGGTTGTTTCAGACGAAGCGGGATACAGATTCAGATTCGTCGACGCGGTCGATGGACCGCCGAGGTATTCGATCCTGAACTATCGGCGAACGTCGAACGGCTCGTACCAGTGGATGGTCGTTGGAAGTTATACACGTAAGTCGAATCCCGTGAAAATCAGGACGTGGTAAGAACCGTAGCTACATCGTACATGCACAGGTGTGTGTGTGTGTGTGTGTGTGTGTGTGTGTGTGTGTGTGTGTGTGTGTGTGTGTGTGTGTGTGTGTGTGTGTGTGTGTGTGTGTGTGTGTACGTATGTATGTATCTATATTACGTACATATGTATATATGTGCGTAGAATTGGATAGAGGGAACGCGTATAGTGTACACGCTTTGTGTACACAGTGAACGGGCAAGGAGAAGCGGAGCTTCGACTTGATCGCGAAAAGATGAGATTCCGGGATGAACGAGTAGCCGAATTTCCAACCTCCTCTTGTTCCCGTCCCTGCGGCTCCGATCGAATCATGGTGAGAGTGAAGGAGGATCCGTGCTGTTGGAGGTGTCAGAGCTGCGGTCTGTATCGGTACCGAGTAGACGAACAGAGGTGCGAGGATTGCGAATCGGGTACCAGACCGTTCGTCAACGGAACCGGCTGCGAACCGATTCCCGAGGAGTTTGTCGACCACTCGAATCTCTGGGCTGTCGCCGCCATGGCAGTAGCTGTGTTCGGTACGTAACGCGTAACACGTAACGCGTTTCTCCTCGTTCGCGAGTGATCGTTGAAACGAGAGCGAATGACAACAGACATTGGTTCGTTCGCAGGCATGTCGTTGACCGTGTTCGTCTGCTGGGTGTTTTGGTGGTATCGCGAGACACCGATGATCAAGGCGTCCGCGCGAGAATTGTCTTTCCTGTTGTTGCTCGGCGCGTTCGGTTGTTTCTCGATGACGTTCGCCGTTGTGGCAAAGCCGAGCGTCGCGAGCTGCGCCGTCGTACGTTTCGGCATTGGATTCTGTTACACTCTCTGCTACGCCGCACTGGCGACCAAGATCAACAGGATACACAGGATATTCAACGATCCCGGACGAAGTCCGCGAAAGCGTCGGTACGATCGCGAATCCCGCCGCGACTTGTACATACCTTTGTATAAACCTTTCCCGTCAAATCGTCGAGTTCGCATCTGTCCGTAGATACACGAGCCCGAGGTCACAGCTGACGATCGCCACGATTCTGACGTTCGTCGAGATCGCGTTCGACGCGGCCTGGCTGCTCAAGGAACCACCGGCGGTAACTCGAGCCTATCCCAACAGAGATTCGAACGTTAGGATTTGTCGAGGCTCCGAGAACGGATCGTATGTAATCGGTTTGGTGTACCCGTTCGTATTGACAGGTAAGCGGTTAGAATCACCGTCTCTTCTGCTGGAAACATTCCAGCAGAAAGTCGCTACGAAATTGTATCGACTCGTCGGATGGCGTCTCGTTGGCTCTAATAATGTCCTCGACGTTTCAGTGGCTTCCACATTTTACGCGATCAAGACCCGAAAATGTCCCGAGGGATTCAACGAGACCCGTAGGATCGCGTTCGCGAATTACGCGACGATCGTATTATGGCTCGCGTTCGTGCCGCTCTATCTGGCTTCGATCAGCAACGTCGTCCGGGTGATCACGTTGGCGCTCTCCCTCTCTTTGAACGGACTGGTGCAGCTGATCTGCTTGTTCTTGCCGAAAGTGTACGTGGTGCTGATCAAGCCGGAAAAGAACACGAGGGAGCTGGTTATGTCGCGACCATGCGGTTCCTCTCACCCGACAACAGCGCTCCCCCCAGAGGCCGTTCCCTCATCGCCCTCGCTCGCAAGCCGATCTCGCGAACCGGTCGTCTAACGTCTCTATTTACTTCACTCTACACCTCTCGAACAAATTCCCCGACGTCCGAGTACATTTTCAATGTTTCCAAACTAATCCCGAGGAGAAGAACTTTCCTCGATCCTTATATTTCCGTCAAAGTATCGAAAGGGAAGATACGGAAAAGGAATCGTTTCGGTAGCAAGTGCGCGTTCGTGTATTTTATTATTATACTATAATATTCTATATGTATATGTATATGTATATAGTATTTTCTAGTAGAGACTACGCGATCGACAACGAAGAAACATAACTTAAAATTAAAAATACCCGCGAGAGGTTAACCAACATGAGGACAAGAGGAAAAATCTTTTAGCGGTAAACGGACGACTCGCGTGGCAATTCGCGACGAAACGAAGAATATTACCACGAGCCTGCGATATTTTCCTCCTTGGAAGACATCGATCCCCGTCCGTCGACGATCGCGGTACCGGGTAATAATGACAACGAGCGACGGGGATCGAGAACGTACGCGATCGAAAAATTTCACGACGACGAACGCGATTGCCGCTGTGTGTAAGTATATATGTACACGTGTATCTGTATACGCACTGTCTACCGTGACTACGCTTATCGCTAAACCGGGTGCCAGCTCGTGTGCACGTTTCTTACGCGATGAAAAAGAAAAACTTATCCTAAGGACAGCGAGACAAGCGCGCGAGCGTTTACCGGGACGCGAAAGGAACGCGCAGTTTTCCAAAAAACGCGATATTCGCGAAGAGAAAGACTTGAGTAGTCGATTGAGCAGTCGAGTTGAGCGTACCGCGCGTTCATCGTCGACTCGTCTCCGGGCGTCGATTATTATCGATTTCGGCTGGGTTCCCGCGCGTTATCGTCGCTGACCTATGCGAAACGCTGCCTCGTTGCCGGAGGAACGTTGGCGATTTCGCTCGAAAGGCCTTTCATGGACGGAACGACTGATAAGGATGGTGAAATAGTTGCGCGCGCGCGATGTCGCACGCGATTAAGTACTTAAGCTTACGTTCTATATGTACAATTTCGTGTCGCGATGGAACTCGTTACCGTTGTCGACCGATGCGATACGGTCATTTAGAAGGAGCTCTCCCGATTCGCCCTAATTTGAACGGACTCGGGACTCGGAGTCATCGCGGGGTTGTCGTAGGCGTAATCGAGGGTAGTGTCCTCGCTCGGATGTCTTCCGGACAACGACGTGCTAGTGGTGTTCGGCGTGCCGTTTTCGTTTCCGTTTCCGTTTCCGTTTCCGTTTCCATTTCCATTTCCATTTCCGTTGTCTTTGTCGTCGCGACCACTCCCGTTCCCGTTCCCGTTCCCGTTCCCGTTCCCGTTCCCGTTCTCCTTTCCGTTTTTTGGCATTCGGGAGGGAGCTACGCTGGCGCTGATCGTTGGCATCGTTAGCCTCAGTCCGTTGTGCCTATTGGTGCCCACTTCCGCGTCATCCGGCGATTTATTGTTGTTCTCGTGGTTGTTGTTGTGGTTTTTGTTAACGGCGGTTTTCTGAAAGCCCAAACGTTTATCGAAGGAACTCGACTCGTTCGCAAGACTCGACTCGACTCACCTTTATCCAAGTGCCGGGAAATGTTCGGCGAAAACCGCCTCGCATGCCTCTCCATTTCGCGAAGCTGTTGACGAGCAGACACGCGACCGTCAACAGAGAGAGGAAGGCGATCGTGATGGCTACCGTGACGAGAATCCACAATTTCCCCACTTCCCCTGTCGACCAGCAAGATTTCTTTGAGCTTCCGAAATGACGCGTTGCGTCGAGAAACAGGCAAAACTACGAACGTTAATCGCATCGCGTTACTTTCACTTACCTCGTAGATTCTCGTACTGCTCGACGAGCACGTATCTCGTGTCGCGCAGGTATTCTGAAATTAGAAACGCGTAATTGTAATCGATTTCGTTAACAATGACCCATTCACGCCGCGATAGAGGCAGAGACGATTCAGCCGAAAATTTTAGAGAAATTCCATTTTGCCCGTTCGATCGAATAACACGGAATGAGGGAAATGTGTTTTCCATGGATTCACCCCGGTTTCGACCGAGGCTGTTCCTTCTACTCTTGGAATTCGAACGAGACAAGGGGAGGGAAGAAAACGGTCACGGTAGGTCCGTTTGAAAAGAGAAGCTACTGGGTGCATCAGGTATATGTATACTTACGTACAGAAAAGAGAAACAGGGTGAAAGGGAGAAGACCGAGGAAAGAATAGCTGTGTATATGTATACGTATAGGCAGGTAGTAGGCAGGCAGGCGCACGGATGAGTCATCGAACGCGCCGCGTCGCGTGTTGGTAGACTCGACGTAGGGACGGTGGTCAGGTGTAAAGTCAACGGACTCGAGCCAACCTTTCTGTACGGATGCATGGGTCTTGGGAAACGCTTGGCCTACTACCTGTGCTTTCTTTCGATCGATAGCGTAACGTGGATGTCCCCCCGCGTTCATGGACGACCAACCGCGGTCGCGTCTCGGAACTCGGAACTCGGAACTCGGAACTCGGAACGGGTTTCGATCTCGAAGCTTGAAACAGACTTTGACCGAAACGCGATCAAGATGCCGGCAGGATAGAGAAATAGAGTCGTTCGAACAGCGGACAATACATTTTTTATTTAGCACGGAACGTTGACCGTACCTATCGTTTAATCTTCCCATCTAACCGTTAGATATGCGCGCTCGACGAACATCTCTTTACGCATCGATCGGTACATTCTCGAAATCACTGTGTCGCGTAAACTCGTGGACAGATATTGTGAAACGGAGCTTACCTTGACAATGAATCGCGCACTCCTTCGGCAGGTAGTTGGAACTGTCGGGGTCGCAAACGGATGCACATGATTGGCAGCGATTGTTGTACTTGTTACAGTACTCGGTGGTGGAGCAGTATTTTCCGGCGCATTCGACGCCAGGCACGTTTAAACCATTGGCCATCGATCCAACGATCAGCGACGCGACGATCATAAATCTCCGCGGCTGAATTCTCATCGTGTATCGAGACCCGGTGAAACTCGAACGGTGGTCGGGACCGTTGCTATTGTCTCGTCGGTGGCGATCGGTGGTGCCTTCAATGCCGATCGATCGAAACAACGCCTTCAACGGGAACAACCATGGTTCTCCTGTAACGCGATCGATGGCCGATCAAATTTACGAAATATTTTATTTCGCGAATAAATTCTCGAAAATTTCACGAGAGAGAATAATGCCCGGGTGTAGTATGTACCGATCGAGTAGTGTTTCCTGGAACCCGGGGCGAACAGTTGCGAGAACGTAATAAGCAAGTACGCGGCGGAGCGGTGTATCGAGTCCAAGAGGGACGGACGGAGACGGTAAGAAAAGGAGAGAAGAAGAGACGCGAGGCGACGTGAGTCATCCGTGGATACTTACCTATCGCGCGACGAACCAGTTTCGAACGATCCATGCTTCGCCAGCCGATCGACCTCGCGTAGAGCCGCGTAATTACCGTTGTGTTTCATTCAATCTTTGATTCGTTCTTTCCGGAAATACCGATCCGTCGTATCGTGTCGCGGGTCGTCAAGCGTTTTCGCGATTCCGTCGTTTCACGGGTTACGGCCTACGTTTTTAATCTTTCCGTTCCATTGCGGGACCGAACGAGAAACGGAGGAACAGAGAAAGCAAGGAGATGAGTTGGGGGGGGGGGGCGGTAATCGTACCTGGCACCTTGCGGTACCAGGTCGACACGATCGCGAGGAGCGACGATTCGCGACCAACAAGATCCCGTGAAACTATATGAAATGGGAAACGGTACTTTTCTCGAGGGGAATATGGATAGTAGTGGTGGTCGGTCGGTTGATCGACAGGAATGTCGTTCGACCGGTTTCGATGTGTATATCTTTCAAGTACGTGCAACTTACGAGTCGTTACAAGAATTTAATAGTTCCGAAAAGATCGCGGCATGGCATCGATGTGGCCGTTATTGGGAATGCACGCTATCCAATGAAAAAATGAATCCGAGACGCGGCAACGAAAAACGTTTCGAAATGGCGGAATCTAGTCGAGAACCAGAGTCAAGCGAGCGAACGTTCCATTGTCCTTTCGTCACCGATGGCTGGCTCGGCGTGGGATCGACGCGCTTGCGCCGAGCCTCGATAGATACTCTGTTCCGCTCGTGGATACGATGGATTCGATTATCCGTCGGCGAAGATCCTCCGCGCGTTCTTGCTCGAACGACCTTGATCGCGACAAAAACGGTTCGTTCGCAGACGGGATCGACGACAACGCGCGTAAGATCATTGTTCGTCGATCGAAAAGTTTAATTCTTACCTGGCGGAAGAGTCGACGACGGGCTGAATCGTTTGGTCCAAAATCGACGAACTCGGTCGGATTGTCCGGGCGAGGCCTGCGTGCTCGCATATCGTCGATGATCCGACCGACCACGCGAGCAAAGAATTCGAAGAGATAGAACGAACGAACGAACGAAGGAAACGTGTTACCCCGTCGAGCGGTCGCGCCAAACTGTCGATCGTGTTTTTCGCGCGCTACCACCGTCGCCTGACTGCCACGCACCTGAATACCACCTCTCCATCCGCGTTCACGGATCCTTCCCCCTCTCTCCACCTGGATCCTCGGGATTGCCCTGATCGCCTACTCGGCTCCTACTCTTGCCGTTATATATTTATTACCTGTTCGCTGGTGCTTCGATTCGACCACCACTCTGCTCCCGCGCCAACTCGACTTACCTGTTGCGACGAACGTTTCTTCGCCCGATAGTATATAGTGGTCGCCGTCGCCACCGCCATCACTATTCGATCGAATACTAGCGAGAAACTTTTTGCGGCTTTTAATATCCCGTTGCGCCGCGTTAATTTACCAGAAAATCGAAAAAACAGAAGGAACATGTGTTTTTCGGTGAGAGAAATAATTAACAAACGACAAAAGTTTCGTCGCGTGTTTACGGTTTATTGTGTTTTCACCGAGCGTCGATCGAGTCGCGTTTGAAGCGCCAACTCGAACTTGATCTTTGTCGGGCACACAGTCGTGTTACATGTTTGTTCGTGTTCGTACAAAATATATTCCATCGTAATCATTTTTGTAACTATGTTGTTGTAGTAATAATAATAATAATAATAATAATAATAATAATAATGATGATGATGATGATGATGATGATGATGATGATGATGATGATGATGATGATGATGATGATGGCGATAATGACGATGACGATGATAATTATAATAATAATAATAATAATAATAATAACAATACGAAGGGCAAGAAGGAGGAGAGGAAGAAGGATATGAAGGATAAGAAGGATAGTAAACGATTCGTCAGTCTGAAAGGGACGTGTTTTCGGCAACCGTTCAACTTCTACTTTCCGCTAGCGAGTTCAGCGTCTATCGATAACCGATGTGGAACGTACGACAAAGGTGCGCGGTATCAACGTAAAAGAATCGAGCTTGATTAACCGCTGTCAAAATCGATTCTTCGAGTCGTCGAATATTCGCGATGTCGTTCGGATGAGAAAAATTACGAAAATAGAACAAGTTGCGACGTGCTGGTCGAAACCGTAGGTTATCCTCGAGCTGTTCCTACGCGACTCGGCCGATCGGAATCTCGAAGGGTGCCGAATACGAATAGTCTCTCTCTCTCTCTCTCTCTCTCCCTCTGGCGATCGACGTACGCTTCGGTTTTCCATGTTTCCGTGTCGATTCGGGTCGTGTCGTTGGTTACGTTCGCTCCGATCGGGGGAGTTCGTTACAAGTTCCACTTGTTGTAGCTACACAGGCACAAACTCCAGCAACCCGATCGCCTCGAGGCAACGTTCGCGTCGGCGGTGACGTTGAACGTGTTCCTGTTTGCTCGGTCATCGCGGCCAACGCGGAGACGCTCGTCGAGGCTATTGGGCCGCCGAAACTCCTATCCTCAGATAGTCTCGTGACTCGACGACTTGTCGGGATTCGCGGCGTCGATGGACGACTGGTGACGGACCTCGATCGGCGAGGGTGGCGTAGGCGACGCGCCCCCGCCGTCTTCCGGTCTTAGCAAAGACGCCGGGACCACGTTTTGCACGTAATGGGTCAATCTCGTGGGCAACGAGCCCGCGTTCAGCTGGTAAAACGCTATCAATTGAAGCAGATCGTAGAACTTGGTCACGCCCTTGTCCAGAGTGTACAGCCAACAGTTGCATCGCTCGTCGAAAACCTGAAATATCGTTTGTCGTTCAGACCGAATATCGCGACCAGAGAAGTCTCTCGCTTCGCTCTACTCTTCTCGCTCGAGTCGAATAAGCAATTTCGCTTACCGGTTGAATCTGAGTGTGAAACACTTTGTCGCTGTATTTGTAGGTCAACACAAACGCTCCCGAGTTGCTCTTGCTCTCTCGTACCAGGAACACGCTGAAAAGATCAGAATGCAAAGAATTCTGTTTGTTGCATCATCGATAACGCGACGGGTGTCGCGAGTTCGCACGGTCACGCCGGAAAAAATCTACTCACCCGTCCACGGAACCGTGATCCCTGACGATTGCCGTCGCGATTTCTCTTTTCAAACCTCTGTGAAACCACGGCTGCAAGACGTGAACACCGTCGTCGAGCCCGTGAAGACTGAGGACCGCGCATCCCGGTGGCGGTCTCGAGAACGGCCTCCAGGTTCGCCGCCAATTGGTCCCTTCGCTCTCCGCGATATCCTTTGCTTCCTTCGGATCTTCCACGATCCTACCGACGCTTCCCGTAAAGTCCATGGCCACGCGTGATCGCACAGATTCCTATCGACACACATCGACGATCCGTGAAAAATCATTCGTTGAACGACAGGAAAGCGAACGGGTTGATTCCAATGGCAACCATACGCGTGCGCGAAACATATCTCATCGGTCTCTATGCGAGGAAATTTAGTCTGGAAGAAAGGCTTTGACGGGGTTTGACAACCCCACGTGACGCCTATTGCTAGGCAAACGTCGACCGTCGTACGAGTGGGTTGCCGCGCGCCGCGCATCGTTGCTCTTGTTCCCGACACTCGGAGAACTACGCGGCGGCGGCGGCGGCGGCGGCGGATACGTGGATAGAGAAACGCGAAAACTACGGAACGTCAAAACTTGAACACAACCAGAAAAACGACAAGCACGCATCGCCGTTGATATCAAATGATGTCGGATGATTTTCAGGAATTTTAGGGCAACCTGTCCGCGTCCGCGCGCAACGTACCTCTGCCATGTTTGGTCAGAACGGTCCAATACGCCGAGAGAGTATAACGACGGACGACCAACTCAGGAAGCGATGTCGAGCACCGTCGAGCACCGTCGACTGTAGTCTGACTCTGTCGAAAGTGGAAGAGCGAGAGAGAGAGGGAGAGTGAGATACCAAGAGAAAGGGACGGGAGGAGAAAAAAAAAAGTCGTTCAATGTCAAGGTTGCAGAAGCGCAGGCGCGAGAAATCGACCGGACCTCCGAACAGACCGAAATCGTCGTCGACGAATAGATGACGCTGAAGGGAAGGGAACGGATAAAGGAAAGGGCTGAAACACGAAGTCTGCGTCGGCAGGGGTGTACGCGAGTCGCGTCTTTCCGCGGTTTTCGAGCCGTGCCACGAAAATTACGCTTCCATGGTTCTAACGTGCTAATAAGAGCCTGTACCGCGACTGACAGTGACTGTATACAGAATCGAGTTAAGCGTTTGGTCTCGTTAAAGTCTCGTAATTCTGTTAGTCGTGGACGTCGCGCGGAGAAGACCACGGTCGGTCCATCGCGCGCGCACCTTCGGTTCGGTGCGATCGAAGCGGTGTACGGTGGAACGGTGCGACGCGCAGCGTTACGACTCGCTCGCGCGTATATACCCTTCGGATGATCGATAACCGAGTCCGCATAGCAACGGTCGACCGTCTCCGGGTCTTTGCACAATTTTCAAAATCATCACCGACCAGAACCACCACCACCACGACTCGTCGTTCTCGTTCCGTTGTGTTCCTATATTCCCGATAGAACGCAACGGCACAGCTCCAACAAAAGCGCGATTACCCAGTCCGGGGAAACTCACGTTCGATACGTTGTGAGCGCTATCCCCGGTAGTCGGCTCGCATTGTTTGTTCTTGAAGGCTCTATAGTTGTCCCTGAGCTGCTTACCATACTGCGAAAAAATGAAGAAACGTTCGTAATGTCATGGATTGTATCTCGAAGGATAACGCGGAAAGAATGAAAGAAGGTAAGAAGGTAAGAAGGAAGGGAGGAAGGAAGGAAAAGCGTCGAGCTTTCGGTTACCTTGGCGAGTCTCATGGCCGTGAGCCAGCAAATACGGGACTTTTCACTCTGGAAAGCGATGACCTTGAGTCCGGATTCTCCTGTCACGGTACTTTTGGCTGCAGAGTCGTTGATTGGCCTTAAGCAGAGTCCCCACTCGAAGGGTGCGTTGAAACGCCACTTCGCGTTCGCGATTTTGTACACCACGTAATCCGGCAAGTGCGCGAAAATAGACAGTTGGTCGGCTTCCTGAAACCATGCGATTCGTATAAAAATAGCGGAAAAACCTTTCAAATGAAATAATGTTCGCAAATCGAACGAAAATCGATTCGATCTTTGGATCGAGAACCAACGTTGTCGCGTCGGACGTCGATCGTCGTCGTAGCCGTCTGACACGCGGCTGCTATCGTTTCTTCTTCCGTCCCTGCCTTCGCCTTCGCCTTCGCCTTTGCGAGAATCTCGATTTCGAACGTCCAAACCGAAACAGGATCGTACGCGACATATTTCTGATCGATATTATTCTTCTACTACGGGGAAGAGATGGTACACGATCGATGTAGCTACCGCACGATCCCAAAATCGATGATTCGGCTGAAACGATTCAAGAGACGGAAAAGAAGCTGTGCTGACGAAGACGAAGACGACGACGACGACGACGACGACGACGACGACGACGACGACGACTAGGCGAGAAGGTTCGGCAATCGCAAGTGGAGGTGCGACATGGTAGAGATTGGAACCGGTTTGCAACTAATTCCAGAAGCGCGAGCAGCCGTGTGCTGGGAAACACGACGTTCGAGCGAGAAGCTGTGCGTTACGATTCGCGAATCGCAAGCTGCAACCTCCAACTTGGTACTTGGTACGCGAATACATAGTTATACCATACACAGTTGTTCTACCTAGAAGCGTACGAAAGCGCTCGCGTGTATAAATTAAAAAAAAAAACTAGAAGATGGATGTAGAAATTGTCAACTGCGTATGTACAGAACGAAGCACTCGTAGAAGGCTGTAAAGCAACGGACACGGAAAAAAAAGCGAGGCGAGTTCGCAAAAATGAGCTCGAAAGGACGGACGCGTAAGAGTCATTCGCTGCTCAACGATTTCCTACAGGCGCGAATTTCGATTTCGAATTGACGCGTCACGTCACGCTGTTGTTCGAGTCAGCTGACAGATCCGTGGATACGATGAAAAAATCGAATCGACGAATACGGCTAGCACTCAATGGATTCGTTGCGAAAAAGAATCTTGGCTGCGCGCGAATGCGAGCATTGCTTCTTCTTTATTGGATTCGTTCTAATCGAATTTACAAATCTCAGTATACTCGCTATCGCTCGCCGTCAAACTCTTGGCACGAATCACGCGTTTCAAGACGTTCGAGGTGCAACGATCGACGAACGTAACGCGTGGTTTTGCCGCTAAGGGGCCAGCTACTCGTTGGATCGAATAGGATCGGATCGGATCGAATAGGATCGGATCGGATCGGATCGGATCGGATCGGATTGGATGTCGTAGACGCAAGTCCTTACTCACCGTGACGCAAGCAACGGTAGCATTTCAATGGGAAAACGTGGCCAAACGAATTTGCAGAAGAACCCGTCGACGCCGACGCCACTGTCGGTGCCGAAGCCGCTGAGCATCGAGGCAATACCCAAACTAAAGAGAAAGAGAGAAGATAGACAGAAGACAAGAGAAAATAGAAATGTAGGTACACGCAGAGACTGTGTTGGACGGATAAGGGAATAGACGGCTAGATATAGGTATCGGTGGGTAGGTGCGGCGAGTAAACAAAAGAGAAGAATGAATCGAAGAGAGATACGATGAGCGAGCGGAACATTGGCGTGGCGAGCAGACGAGAGGCGAGAGGCGAGCGGCGAGAAAAAGAGAGAGGTACACAGATTCGTGTTCGTTCCAAGTTGGTGGATCCCTGTATACTGTGTATGTATATGTATTTCGTGATCGGAAGTCTCGATTCTCAAAACCTCGATCCTCGACCTTCGTTCCAGGACTCTTGATAGATGCGACGCGACGGAAAGATTCGATCGGTCGATTCGTCGAGCCACAGCTACAGCTTTCTCTCACGATTTCTGCACGTACTCGCGGTCGTTCGACGTGTGTTCCGACGAGTCTGGATGTGGCAGCGTGATCGCAAGATCACTCTGTGAAAGAACAGGATCGGAAGTGTGATCCGCTCGATCTGGTACCGCGAAAATTTCGCAGGAAACTCGGCTTCAAGATTTCGAATTTATCACGGTCCGGGGATGAGTCTACGAACGACGCGACCTCGTTCCCGATCCGATTCCCCTCTGCCTAGCCTGTTTCTATCTGTCCGCGCAAAACAGAAAACGCCGCGGCGATCGATCGCGTATTTCGGTGGTCGAGTCGAGAACGAAGATACCGGAAGCAGGAACGAGACACACGAGAAACGAAAGAAGAAAGTAGAAAATGTACAAGCGAAGCACCGTAGTTCGAATCGCGATGAGTCTCGTGAGTCGCGAATGATCACCGATAAACGGACGTCAGGGATCTCGTCGGGGATCTCGTCGGGGATCACGGTGAAATTGTCCGCGAGAAACTTTTACGATTGGACAGACGTTAAACGCCAGAGGAATCGGCGGCTACACTTACTCCGAGAATCTCGAGCGACCAGCGAAATGCATCGCGGAAAAACTTTGGAGTTCGATTTCTCGCCGGTACGGTATTCCCGCGAATAGAGGATGATTTCTCGTTGCTCGTATCAGGAAACGTCGGAAAATCTGTGACGCAATCGAGCTATTTCTTGCTCGACAACCTCTGTATTCCCTCTGTCCGAAAGGAAGTCGTCTCTGCCGGACGTGGTTTGGTTCTCGCAACGGCCTGGCCTTTCGTGTGCCGCGGTGAAGAGCACAAAGCTGCGCATCTTCGACAATTGCCTCGCTCGTTCCTGCGTGTCGTGTTGCGCCGAACCAACGAAACACACCGAGGGGAAGATAGCGGTATGTGTTAAGCGTTGTGGCTGAGGGTGAGGGTGACGATGAGCCAGGACGGGTGGTGGGAGGGTGGCGACGAGGCAAAAGTGGACGAAAGTAGTGACGCGAGAGGAAAAAAGGCAGCGAAAGGTTAGTCGGAAAGAAAAAGTAAAAGAACCGATGAGAGAGAAAAATGAAGAGACCCGGGAGGGAGTCGAAAGGAAGAGACGATCTACCGGCAAAGAGCAGACTGCGCGACGACGCCGATCTTCTCCTCGGTTCGCACCTTCCTTCCCGTTTGTCGAGACGAGCTTCGCGGCCGCTTTATCGGCTGTTTAATTTCGCAACGCAGCCTCGGTGTGACCGCTCGCGATTCAAACGAAGGCGATGGCAACAGCGGCGGTGGAGGCACCGGTGGTGGCGGCAGAAAAGACGTAGGAGGCGCGCGCGCGCATCGCCTCCCAACGACGACGGTTCAACTACTGACGGAACGGTTTGCCGTTCGCCGGCGCCGGCACCCTCGTGCATTGTGCCGGACAAAGATCCGAAGATTGCCGAATCGCGGTGCGAAAACGGCCGGGCCGAGCCGAGCCGGCAATCAGCTGGTTTCTCGGCGGCACGGCTAGCACGGCTAGCACACGCTGCATCGCTCATGAGCCGCAGCTCCGTTGCGCCTGCACTCCGCTATCACGCTTCCTTCCTTCCTTTCTTCCTTCGATCACGCTCTCTATCGCCAACTTTTCCGAATCAGCTGACTGCTCTACCCTTCCTCTATCCCACCCACCCGCCAGTCCGCCGTCGTCCTCGTCAACCGAACCACCGTTCTCCACCATTTCCCCTTTCTCTTCGCTCTTCTTCGTCATCTCTCTCTCTCTCTCTCTCTTCCCGCCACTGCTGCTGCTGCTGCTGCTGCCGCTACTACTGCTAGTTGCTGCTACTGTTGCTTCCTCTCGGCAAATTGCTTATACTCTTCCAGATTGGTTAGCTGTCGCTGAGTGTACGAGTCACGAGTCACGACGTCACGCGTCTTTGCGGGAACTCGAAACGTCGCGACGCGCTCTAGTACGCGCGTTCTTCGTCCGGTTCGAGGTGTCTGCTTTTATTTGGCGTTCGAGATCTCGTCAACGGTGTACGTTCATCTGCCGGATGAGCGAAATTCGTTGCGAAGCCGCGTAATCGTGTTCGCGAAACCCGGCAAACGCGAAAAGAAGAACAGCGACGGTGACGGGTCGACGTGACGCGATGCGACGCGAAACAGAATTTTCCCGTGACATCCGGTTGCCCAAGAAGAAAGTAAACACTGTTGCAGCAAATGGAAAAAGTACAGCGACGAGTCGACAACCGCTTCCGGAAGAAATGGCAATGTTGATCGAAGGGGTGCGCAGCGAATAAGTGATATCGTCGAAACCTCGGAATTTTGTTGACTCGACTCGATAGGGAGCCAATAAGTTTCGCACATGAACTGCCGAAAAGAGCACGGAATCGTGATACGCGAGGATAAAGAGGCAAGGAAATAGGATAATTAAAGGGAACAAACGGACGGACGGACGTATATCTATTGATTTCAGTGTTTTATCGCGCGTGAAAGCGCCGCGAGCGCGCGCGTTCGCCAATTGATTCATGTGCGTGAAGTTAGCCCCCGTTTTGTGAAAAACTAAAAAATGATTCTTATCATATACTATTAGTTTGTACGAGTTTTGTACCACGTTGTACCGTTGGGAATTTTCTAAAATTCGAAACCGTTTTTCAATCGAACAATACTCTAAATTTCTACTCTGTACCCCATCTTGTACCGAATTCTAACAGGCTGTACCAATGTGAAATCACCCTGGTTTTCGGCTTTCCTTTTCACGTCATTGTACTCGATCCATCAATTTTGCTGCTTTACGCATGCCGTGTAACGATCAACGAATGCCATGTCTAACCCCCCGTGGTAAGCTACAACACCCGCCAACGTGTAATTGTTCGTTTCTATTTGCAGTGCTACGGTAAATTAATTTAACGGTTCTTTTCTATGATCCGTGAAACTTATTTCTATAAAAATATGGGGGGCTACCTTCACGTATATATGTATGTATTGATTCGCGGCATTGACGGCCACACGTAAGGTCCTTGTCTGATTTGGACGGCTCGCGATGAAGAACGCGCTGCTGCGTCGGTAGCAAAAGCAACGCATCGGACGTTACGGTCGCGTATTTCGATCGATGCGATGCCGCTAAGAAAAACGGTTACGCGATTGGGAAATCCGCAGAGTATTGGCCGTCTGCCAAAAACCAGTCACGCGAATTCTACTCCAAATACCCTAACCCACTAAACTCGTACGAATTCTAAAACGGTCTCGCAGCGAGTGTCCTCGGAGCGGCGGATTTTCCGGTCTCCTTCCTTTCTTCCTTCCTTCCTTCCTTCCTTCCTTCCTTCCGGTTTCCTACTAGATAGACTTGAAAATCTCACCATTCGCTCTGACATCGAACCCGACGTACTTCAATTTTTCGGAATGTTTTCTCGAAAATCAACCTATACCTCTTCGGGTGCCGTCAACGGAAGACATTCGATCCACGAAATTGACGTACTTGACCGCGTGGACGTCGAAATGGTGGAACATTTTCCGAAAATAGTGGTGTTGCGGTGGTCAAATGCATGGTATTTTCTGTCCGAGACCCGACGAAAGATTGCGAATTGCGGATTAAGGACAGACTGTGTACTACGAACGGAATCGAAATCGGGAACGGGAACGGGAACGAGAACGAGAACGAAAACAGAAACGGTTCGCGGTTCGTCACGCGTCACAAACGCGAACAATAACGTGTGTACATATGCAACGGATATCGTAATATTATGCGTTTCGAAAGCGTATTGTGTTTGCCCGACACCCTGAACGGAGAAAAAGAAGAGGTGAGGTGGTTGGGGGCGGGGGCAGAGGAGAGGAGGGATGTCGAGAGAGTTGCAGGTGTAAAGGAAGGGAGAGCAGGGTGAAGAAGACTGGCTTGGCTGACGTCAACGCCGAGAACGAGGGAACCACAGAGGAACATGGTGCGGCACGGCGTGGGCATCGGTGCGGTGCGATGCGATGCGATTCGATGCGTTCGCTTGAACCGCAATCACGCCGAAATCAAAGCGGATCGCAAACGGCGAACCGCGGTTCCAAACTCGTTTCTTTCGGATTTCGAGCGGTCTCGAGCATTGTCCATTTTCGCTAGCGGTTTCGACTCCGGTTCTGGCTCCGGGAACCGCGCATCCGGCTGTCGCCAAAGTCACCGTTCCGGAACCGAGCAGAGTTTCGCACGAGAGCTCGGTATACAGCCGATTCACGACCGAGTCCTGGAACCAGAGAGGAACTAGAAAGTGGAGGGAGGGAACTCGTGAAATGCTATGCATGGTTAGGAACTCGGTACCGCGTAGACTCCCTTCGTCGTCTCTGTTTCCGATCAGCTGATTCATCGCGAACGAGGCACGCGGATGTACAACGAAATGTTTCCCATCGTTCGATAAAATGCACGAACAAAGGAAACGAACTTTATCTCTTCGACGAAGATGCGCGTGTACGCGGGATCAATTTCACGCGAGCAACTCGTTTCGAAGCGTATGTATATCGTATGCACGAATGCAAGGTCCCTGTGCGTCACTGGCCACACAACCGATGCAAGCGACGAGTACACACAGTATCGAGCATGATAAAACCGATCGAAGTAGTTCTGCTTGATTAAGGATTAGGGAAGGGGTGTCGAGTTTGGCGATAGAACCATGGAATACAGCAAGAGTATCGGCTCGCATGGAGTAAAGTGACGTCGAGTCGAGTCGAGTCGAGTCGAGTCGAGTCGAGTCGAGTCGAGTCGAGTCGAGTCGAGTCAAGTATGTAGAATAAAGAACAGCTCGGTGTAGTGGAGTTCGAGGGAATAAGTAGTGGGGAAAAGGTAGAGAAGTCGAAAAATCGAGAAGAGTTTGCGCAGCAAAGAGAAGAGAGAAACGAAACGATGAAAAAGAGAAAAAGAGCGGTAGACCCAGCGAGCAGTGTTCCTAGCAGAATAGCTCTATCGCCGACACGAATGTGTGTCACGCGCCCAACATACGTCTTGTACACATAGATACATCTGCGAGCTACATAGTTTGCGTCGACACGAGCAAACGGTTCGCGGCTGCACCACGTAACGATTCGCGTCGTTGTCTATCGTCTTCTTAAGCATAACCTTGTTTAATTCTTCGTTGCCAGTGATGTTCAAGCAGGACGAAACTCACGGTTCCCGCGCGTTTCGTTCTTCTCCCAACAACGATCCGACAGGACGATTCCCGTTCGCGACATGACCCTTTCTTTCCTTCTTTCCTTCTTTTCTTCTTCTTCTTCTTCTTCGTTTATTTCGACAGAGCATCGGAGCGGTCCTGGCTCGAGGGAGATTGATCGCGATTGTAGGAGCAAACCGCCGGGTATCCTATTACATACATAACCATGTATGTATATGCCGGTTCCCGACGCGGGATCGATTTTTCTCAACGTGGAAGAGACGGACGTCGTCGCGTTTCTCGCGGCACGGTGAGATAAAACGGAAAAGATGGAAGAGACCAGGACTCGGGCCGTGAGTGTATCGAGAGACGAGGATAGCGACAAAAACGCATCGCGGTCGGTGAAAGCGGCTAGGAGAAATACCTTAGAAAGGTATACACGACTGACCCGCGTAACTTTAACGCTTCGTATGCTCGCCCGATCATACATATGTATACGTATCTATAGATATACATATACATACTTCCATTTGCCTCCGCTCCGACTCGACGTGTATTCGCGCAGGCTTCTACATACATACATATACCAACCTCGCTCGGTATCCTTGCCTTTGACATCAAACTCGTTCGAAACTTTTATTACGTTCGGTTATGGGAAAACTCGATAACAGCGAGAACAGCTACGGCGACGCCAACGGCAAACCAGTTCGAGAATTAAGACTGCTTATACGTAAACCCATTTGTCGCGACTAAAAGAAAAATCGAATCTCTCGAATCTTTCGGAACAGAGATGCCCGAGAACGTCCGATTCCTCGTGCAAAACGGAATCGTTATCGGTGTTAATCTCGGCATCTCGGGGAAAAATGGTAAACGAGATCGGTGAAAGTGGAAAATCGAGTGCCCGGTGGAACGGCAACGAATGGCTAAAAAAAAGCCAACTAATCGGGAAAGAACGAATCCCACGGTTCGATCACTTACCTTCTTCGCCACGTAGAGCTTTTGGTTTCGCAGCAACATGTACATTTTTCTCCAAACGTCGAAATATCCGCATCGTACCCACGCCAGACTCAACACCCGTGGACATTCCGCATTCTCTTGCTGCAGATATTTCTGAAATTCAAGGAAATCCGTCAAATTCAACATCCATACGTCGCCTGCTTTGACCTTAACCCGTTCGATGCGGCTACACTTTTGACGAATCGAATCGATTCTACCGTTCATGAAACGTGTATGTATACACGCTCGTAGCACCGAAAGGGTTAATCAGTTTCTGTTGAATCAAAAGCGTTGGAGTTTGCAATTATGTCGTTCGTTCAAGCTATGAATCGTTTCAACGGAACAGCCCGAAAACGGTACATGGCGGCACATGTACGATGATCGCGATACAAACTCTCTTTCCAAGATCGTTCTATACAATACATTTCGATTCGCGCGCGTTCTCTTCTAGATCTCTCGTACGACCGTGAATCGAGCGAATGCACGTTGCGGCTATGAATCGTGTAAACGCGTTAGTATACAGATGTATATAAGCTACGTTTATCCTATATTCGAATCTCATCTTCTTATAATATGTACTTCCGAGGACACTTCACCGATGTAAAACGGATGAAACGCGATTACGATGCATTCCACACGAACGATCAAAGAAACTTGATAAGTAAGTAATAAGTCGATGTAACTGTAACGTTCGCGCTTCGAACGGAGTTAAATCGATCGAACGTTATTCACCTCGAGATGGAGCAAAATGTGTCTGTGTGTGTGTAGAAAAAAAAGTGCCACCCGCGGCACAATCCGTATTTGCTAATATCGCGATCGAAAAAAATCGTTCACGATCGTTTCTACTCACTCGTAAAGCGCTTTCCGCGTCGATCAGCGTTTCACCGTTGTCCATTGCGAGGACAGCGCTGGGAAACGCGGCCATGTCGGTTGGGAAAAATTGCTGAAACAAACGTAAGATTCGAGATCGATTCGTTGTTTCCCGAAAAACACATCTGAACTGGAACAAGATTCGTTAATCGTAAAAAGGACAAATCCAATTATCCTGACAATAGCGAGATGGACCGCGTCGACGTTCGGGCACGGACGAGATATACATACAGAAAGTATCCTATGCTTCCCATACCTATAATATTCTACGTATAATAGCTACGTTTGCTTGTGTGCACGTATGTACATAAACCGCTGTCTGGTTGTCGTGATCGTCGAGGCTTCGTACCGCGCTGTGGGTAAACCGCCGCGGCACACCGCTTGCGCGAACGTCGGTGAATTATCAATCGAAACTCTAATTCGGTATGTACAATAGCACGTACGCGCACGATACATATGTAATTACATAGATTGGTTCGCTCGACTTGGGTCCTTTCCGTTGTCGGTTTCACGTTGATCGGTCAATTACACCGAATCGCGTTTTTATCCGTAAGAAAGTTGAAAGTGATCGTATGGGAGGGGGGATGGCAAGCGAAAGAAAACCGGAACAGCGCGAGTAGGTAGGTACACGGCACGATCGACTCGACGAAGAAAGAAACGTTTCTACAAACTTTTCCACTCACCTTGGGGTCCAGAAAGAATTCGTACTTGAGGAAATCCTTTCGGAAGACAAATTTCCTGTGGAACCGAGACGCGAACAGTCTCATCTCTCTGTGCACTGCAACGACGTCTTCGTGATCTTCCAGTGTACGTTCTGCGAAACCGATTCGATACGCGATACCAGAGAACGTTCGTCTTCCGCCGATTTTTCCAGAGAGGCGAATGCGCGAGCTCGAGCTCGAGCCTGCCGTCAACGCGACGCGAGAACCCGACTAATTGCGCCTCGATCCATCGAACTCGATCTTACGAAACTCATCGATTCGATTCGATTCGATTCGATTCGATTCGATTCGATTCGATTCGATTCGATTCGATTCGATTCGATTCGATTCGAGTTCGAAGTCCCAACGGTGTCGAAATCGAATGGCTAGACGAGAGCCACGAGCTCGCGCGTTTCCCTCGCGGTTCGCTCGCGGAAAAAGACGGATCCAAACGAAGCGAGGTAAATGAACCACCGCGTTAATTTTTCTTTTTCTTTTTTTTTTTTTCGCGAGGATCACGAGACGCTCACCAATTCCCAGTTCCGGCCACGCTTCCACGATCGACCAAGCGATTCCGGACACATTCTTCTTCACTTTGAGCACCTCGCACAAATCAACCGCGCGAACATTTCTCTCGACGAGCAAACTGTTCCTAGTCTTTAGATCGTCGTTGTAAAATTGCAGCTCCTCCACCTGAAAGTCATACGAACAATTCGTTAAAAGTTCTGTAACCCAAAAAACCTGTGACCACGTTATACTTGGTCGATTCGGTCGAATCGAGAACACCAGGGCGGTCGTGAACACACAGGACCAGAGGAAAGAGGAAAACACCTTTGTCACTCACTTGACTGTCGTCGCGGATTTGATCGCGGTGTCCGGTATTGTCGTTCTCGCAGTCATCGTATCTCGTACCCGGACTAGTCGTCGCGCGGTCGAACTCGAACGCGTCGTCACCCATGAAACCAAATCTCTCGTAACGTCCAACTCGGTTCGCGGATCGACCGCAAAATCCGGGGATCGCGACGCCGATTTCAAAACAAGGACACACCTTCGGCAACCAATCTGTAACACAGAAAAGTTAAAACGTTGTAAACTGTCGTAAGGTGTAAGATGTAACGATACTCCTTTTGTAGAAAATAAGGTAGGTATTGTAGATGCTTTAAGAAGAAACATCGATTCAACTACACGGGGAAGTACATATGCTGTAGGAAAATGTTGAAAGAAGACTTTAATTTTAAGCGTCAGCAATCGAGAAAAACTGGTAAAAAGCTCAGTCAGGCAAATTTCGATTAAGGATCGTTTAAAGCTTGAATGGGATCGATCGATACACCACTGCGATCAAAAACCTCGCGATCGTCGTCGATGACGATGAAAACGCCGATCGATTTCGAAGAAAATTAAGTCACACGAAGTACACTAGTGGAACGAATTACCAAGAAAATTTTCCCTAAACCGCAACCCCCGGTTGTATCGCGAGTTCGTGAGTTCGTTAAACGACGTGACGCGCACCGTTTCAAACACGTCGCGACGATACGCGATACCCTCTGGTGAAATTCGACACAGATCGTTATCGTGACAGCGATCACCTACTCACAGTTCGGCAAGAATAAAACTGTACGAATATGCATAGGAAACCGTCTTCGATGTGTTCCAATCGATTTAACCAACCATTTGTTCGGTTGATCGGTTTGGTTGATTGGTCGGTCGGTCCTTCGATTGGCCCTTCGATTGGTTTGCAAATCGATCTTGGATAAGGATAGCGAGTCGCAGCATGTTAGAGCGCATGCGTATATACATAATACTAAAATCGATCGATTCTGGTGCGCAGCAGAAGATAGGTGCCTACACCACACGCAGCTAGCCAGATAGAATTTCTTTACTTGGTTCGGTTTCGTCGCTGATTTCGCGTCACGATCGACTACGATGCGGAGCTGCGTCCGTGAAAGACAGGAAGTACCTACCCACGCCAACGTGAACTGGAAAAATCTTTTCCAGCGCGTACTTCTTGTTGTAACAACGGAATCTAATCGAACGATGCTCTTTGCCGAGAAATATACGTATAGTTTCGAGCTTTATTGGAAAAATTTTCTAGTCGCTAAAGACAGTCTTTACTTGTGTGCCACGGCGACCGAACTGGTACAACGCTACATTCTATGGCATAATTTAAAATTAAGCCCGCGTAAGATGACAATTAGATCGGTGCGCTTCTTTTCCACGCCTAGGCGTGGACATAAGCGAAAAACGATGATTCACAGTCGTCCGGTACTCGGTTGTTTTCCAATGGTCAACCGATAAGCATCACGTAGGTACGCTTAGTCCCTTCTCTTGTATCGTTATGGAACATTAAATTTAGTATTCTTTGTTGGAACGCACTTGAACTGCTTGGATGGCTTGTTTTCGGATCTTGTAACACGTCGTCGTTTATCCGTTTCTCGAATCTTTTCTCAGAAACAGTAAAAGTAAGATCGAGTAAACGCGCGCGCGCACTTTCAAAGAGACGCGCATAAAAGGACGTACAAAAGATCTACGAAGCGAACATCGAACTACATTATGTATATGTATATAGGTACGGATGGAGGATCCAATGTATTTGGAATCGAGTTCGTAGTTGGTCTTACTCCTCGTAGCGTTGTTTGTCATTTCGAGGCCGTTGCGTTCATTGGGAGGAGGAAACCGAAAAGTTTACAAGCGTCTGTCCTCTCCCTTGATTATGGTGAAACTAAAACTATCTGTAGATACTTACCAGGCGGTATTACCGTGAATAATCTATTATTATTATTATTATTATTATTATTATTATTATTAGTATTATTATTAGAAAACGAAAGAAAAATATAAAGCTTTTTTCTGGAAAAAAAACATGTACCGCGTTTGCATTGCTAGTCATGGAAGAAGGTTCACGACTCGATCTCAAGGTCGCATCGACGATAGCATCGGGATCCCGAGGTTAAAATTTCGGACTTACTGCAAATGTTCAAGCATCGTCGACGAACCTGAGAGAGCCAGGTTGCCGCCGCGGAGTCTTCACTGTCGTGCATCGTGCTGGTACGGCTGTTGCTGTAACTCGCGAGTTCCGCGCAGCTAGCCAGAAAAGAATCGCTGTAGATTCTTCTTTGGTTAATCGTTGCGATGCATTCGTTTTTGAGCGACACCGACATCGGTGTCGTCGATGCCACGGTTCCCGTTCCCGTTCCCGTTTCCATTGGTATCGTGGCGTCCATCGAAGCGACGTCGGTATTTCTTGGTTCCTTCGTTTGGACGGAAGGTTTTTCCGTTTGTGGAGCACAGTACTCGGATGTCGAGTAATCGGAAAAGCTCTTTGTACGATCTCGCGAGGTATCCTCGAACGTGATCGCAGTGACGAAAGTAAAATTCTCGACCATATCGTCGAATCTGAAACAGAGGTAATACTTGTTAGCTTCGACAATCGACGAGAAACACAACTTTTCTCGTGATACTGGAGTAGCGCAGGTAACGGAACGAAGATTATCGGAAAATACGACTGCGGTTGGCGCGCGCGTGCTCGCAGTTACGAGCGTATAGCGGTATAGTTACATACGTACATACATACATGTATAAGTAGGCATCTATGTACGTTCTTCGACATTCGTTCGCGACTAATTACGCGAACCCCTATAAGAAGAGAATGAGATGGTCGGTTAACGGTTATCGATTAAATCTTTCGTAATCGACTATATCGGCGTGTACGATTTCTAAGAAAATGTAAGTGCAATCTCGACCAAGATTATTACGATTTCGAATTCAATAATTCGAACAAATCAGGAATTAAATGACTTGTTTTTTTTTTTTTTTTTTTTTTTTTAAATAAATTCGATGGGTTCAAATTGGCATCAGATTCTCGGAACTACGAACCAAGTAACGTTAATTCTTGAAATAATAATAATAATAATAATAATAATCGTGTTTAAAGATTTCAGGGATGCTCCGGATATTATTATTATTATTATTATTATTATTAATTTATTGTCAATATTAATACATTTGTCCGATATTCGATTCATCGATTCTGATTGTGAACATCTTTGAAATCTTTAAATACAATTCTTCCTATATATGTATGTATGTACACAGAATGCCGGCGAAGACCGGGGGGTTGTTTTTCAACGTATGTTAATTGTGTATCGTTTTCGAAGTTTCGTAGAAGACTATTATAACAAGCTTGCCAAACCGGATTACGGTAAGTAGGTACGCGATGAATCGAATCTCTTTTCTTCGAGCTTCTTTGCTATCGATGCCACGCTTTCTTTTGCCTTCGGTAAATCTGCAAAACGATTCTTCGGTTTTCGATTGCTGGCAATCGGCAACGACTGAACGTCACTCGTCGCAGACGATGCCGCATTTTCTGTTCAGATCGGTTAGGTTAGACATTCCGTTTAGTTTTATACTGCTCTACGTAGGTCGGAAAATGCGTAACGGGAACAGGCGAAAATAAATTTTGAAGAAATAAAACTATAGAATTCGCAGCGTTCGAGGGAGAGCACGAATCGATCTCGTTGCAAGGTCGTTGCACGTCGGTTACGCAACGATCGCTAAAGTGTTGGTCACGCATACGCGACATTTATTCCCCTCCTTGTCCCGTTCGCCGTATATTATATGTATGTATGTGTATAATACTTCCGAACATCGTGTTTCCTCGTATAATTATTATTATTATTATTATTATTATTATTATTAATATCGTCATAATTATCGATGTTAAAAAGATTTATTACAGTCCCATCAGTGTGTACATACAACAGTAATTTTGCAAAGTAAGCTTCGGAGTAGAATAAAAGAAGTAATAGTTTATCGACTGTATTTTTAATGCGTGAGGTTTATCACAGAAAAAACACCTATACATATATGTATTGAGTTGTTAACATTATTGGCTGCAACAGGGACCCAATTTGCTGATACGAAAAAGCCAAGATTCGGCTTATCTATACGACCACGGGTCAAACGTTTAGTTAAACCACCCTAAAAGGTATATATGTATAGAATAGCTACGAGATGAAAATGAATATGATTTCCACCGGTTGAAGATAACGCGTAATGCTATCGATCAACTCGAAGACACAAAGGAGATCAAAGGCAGTTCTGCGAGCGGCTTACAAGCGACTTCCTGGTTGAGCAAGACCACGATGGTTTTGTAATCATGATTATCATGATACACCATTTTATGTCATGTCTTGTACGCAATAGATCCGAGAAGTCCGTGGTGTATAGGTATACCCCTTCGAGAAGTAGTTTATACGTAATTATGTAAATACACGTGATAACGACGGGGTCGTCGATACTGACCTCGGACGAACGAGAAAAACCTCGTGGATTCCCTGGATTTTTTTCGTAAGCATCAAGAGCGTAAGGGGTGAATTGATTCGATAAAAGGTCCTTCCGAGATTATTCCTCGACCATTCTTTTTATGTAGTTACCGAGACGTGGTGAGGTTAACGAAGGTTAACTTGCCTTTAAATTGATGGCGCGTGTCTAAATTGGTCGCGCAAAGATATACACTTATACATATGTATATGTATGTACGTAGCGGTAGCGGCGTGAGCGCGCGCGAGTCAACGAGACGTGTCTCCCGACATCTAACGATCTAACCCTAACCTAACCGGTAAAAAATTGCACACCTACACATCCAAGCGATATCGATACGACCAGTTTCAAGCACTCACGCTACGTCCTGTCCATTTCACCGCATCCAATTGTTTCGACTATAACCCGCAGCTGTCAAGTTTCCCTCAAATATGTATACCTTCGTCCAACCCCTTGACCTCGACGACGACGACGACGACGACGACGACGACGACGACGACGACAACATTCGCTTCTCGTGGACGTGTTACTCCTCGGCGGCCGACGAGCAAATCATTATCACCGAACGAGATCACGGTCAAAAAGGTCTCACTCTCTCTCTCTCTCTTTTCTTTAAACTGATTCAACGCTCGAAAAGAAACGATAAGTAAACGTAGGCGGGAATACATGGTCAATTGTTCGCTATTAAATGCGACGAAGGTCGAGATGCTTCCGACGCGACGGTTAAAGAAGGGAACGATCATCGTTTCGCGTGTCTTACGGGGCCGTCATCGACGATACCCAATTGCCGTTCGATGCGTCGCCGTCACAACACGTTCCCGTTTGTTCCATTCTGTTTGGTTTCTTTAGGTTGGCGATTAATTGCAAGTGAAAAATTGTGAATTATATTATCTCTTGTTCTTTTATCGTGTGCTCCGAATGTACCGTAGTCGGATATTGTAATAACGGTCTGCGATGTAATCGAACATGATCACACGCAACGCTATATACGTCCTGAAAAATTACAATCCCCGCCGGAGCGAAGACAAATAAGGAACGAAAAGAGATCCCTTCTCTGAATTTTCGCGCAAAGGAAAAAGAAAGCTAATAGTTCCTCCGTATCGCGAAAGCTCCGAAAGGAACCGTTCCGTTGGCTAGAGGAGAGAGAGAGAGAGAGACTCGATCTGGGTCTGCGTCGCGGACGCAGTTTCGCGAAACCGCTTGAATTTTCGCGCGTCGCGTAAAACGCGTGTATTATTGGCCAGCAGGAAAACGACGAGTACTCGACTCGGGTTCGACTTACGTCACTCGAAGATACTCGAATCCAGCCGCGCTTCGACGAACTAGTCTTTTTTTCTTGACCGTTATCGTCGTTCCCACGGTTTATCGCGCGAATTGTCCTTCTGCTCCGCGTTCGAACCACGGACTTTGCGTACGTGTTTCTCTATCGGTCGTTCCTGCTCGACCGATCCGGGTTTCCATTCGTTTCGATTGATCGAAATCTCGAGAACAGCGCCACGTCTCGTCGGTGCCGGTGTCAGGTCGGGGTCGTTGTCGTTGCCCTCTTCGTTGTACTTTTCGTTGTCGTTGTCGTTGTCGTTGTGCTCGTCGTCGTCGGCGCTGTTGATTTCGCTCTCGTACCCGTAGCTGTTTTTGTCGTCGTCGTCGTCGTCGTCGTCGTCGTCGTCGTCGTGCGTTACGATCGCGGAAACGTTGGCGCGTCGGTGATTCGACGTTTGAACAGGACGCGACGGCTGCGATCTCCGACGCAAAACTGAGAACACAGCGATCGAAACACACGGGGCAATCTCGCGTCCCGCCGCGCCACACCGCGCATCATCCTATCATCCACCGACTAGATCGCAAGCTACGGAACCACGCGGCGCGGCACGACGCACGACGCGGCGGATCGCGAGACTCTTGGTCGCCATCGAGATCCCCGCTCGTCGTTCTTCCGCGTTCTCCTTCGTCGCAATTTCCCGTGACACATACAAACCTACATATAGTTACTTACGTAGCTTTCGCGAGAACAACGCGTGTTCCTTCGAAAACCAGGCCCGGGGACGGGTGTTTGGGGGACGTTTGCGGTACGTTTGCCGAACATTTGCGAATCTGGCTGCTGCCGTTATCAGGGGTTTTCAAATCATTCCGAACGAGCTCGAAGAGATCTGTAACGTCACGGTGATCCGTCACGAGACAAACGACCATCTCCGACGGGACTGAATGGGATTTATTCGCCAGAATAACCGCGCGGCCCGGAAGTTGAAGAAAGTCCGAGAGATTTCTCTAGAGACAGAGCCGAGCTGCGCGAGAATCCAAGATTAAAATAGCGACGGGGGCTTCGTCTAAATTTATTCAAGTGGTAACGAACGTTCCGGGACGGAGGTTCTCTTCTCTGTGTACCCATCGTATTCCCATGTCGGTGTTTCGTTTGGTGCAACCTCTAAGTTCAGGGCAGAAGCGAAACTGCGAGGACGAGTGACACGCGATCGGAAATTGTTTTTCGGTTAAGTGGGAGCACGGAACGATTCGAAGCGAAAACGTTTGAAAGGGTTAGCCTCGTTAAAGGGAAACAACGGAGAAAAGAGAACGAGCTGAGAGAAAAGTCCGAGAGAGACCGAGAGGATCGCGCGCGATGGAAAATTCCGAGGAATTTTACAGAAAGTTGTGCTCGCTGGAGACGGTCCGGTCCGAAAAGAAAGGATTCTTCCGAGACTTTAGCGAGTGCGTGGCTCGAGTAGCTGGCGACACATGGATCTCGAGTGTGTTTGGTCGATTGGCCGACGACGAGGCTCGTATACGAACGGTCTTCACGGACGATAAGATAAAAGACACGGTGCTCGAGACATTGAACAGAACGAAGATTCTGTACAGAACGAAAGACGCGGAGGCGTCCAGAGCGAGAAGGCTCGAGGCATTCGAGGCGGCAGCCGCGGGAGAACGAGAAAAGGCTTTGGTGCTCTTCGGTCAGGCCGTTCTTCGCGCGCCAACCTCGTTGTCGGGTCTCTGTTTTTTCTTTCCC